AGAGGTGGCAAAAGGATCATTCGGGTCGGGTTTGGGTTGTGTCATTTCAGGTCAGGGTATTTCGGGTCTAGATTATATTCGGTTTAATTTTATTCAGGTCGGATCAGATCTAGTTCGGGTATACGGTAAATCGGATTGGGTCAGGTATCGGGGTGAGGTCAATTTTTGGGTCGGATGATTATCGGATAGGTTGTTTTTCGGTTCGGATCAATATTGGATCAGTTGATTTTGGGGTCGGATCAATATCAGATCGGTTAGATTTCGGGTCAGGTCAATAGTCAATATCGGATATGTTGATTTTCGGTTTAGGTCAAACTTTAGATCAAATCAATTCATGTTGAATTGGTTATGAGTTTAATCAAGTATATATAGAATTATTGATATATTCTTGTAAAAAATATGTCTTCTTGTTTGTTAATCTTATCATTTAGGCCTAATTTCAATTCTCAATCGTTCAATATTTTGAATTAAACTAATATTTAGAGATGATAAATCAATAATTTGATACAAATACGATCCTCTAATGCGTGTTAGAATTTGTTATCAAAAGTTTATATTGATTTTGTATGAAAAGTTTATAATGAGAACTATTTGATAAATAATTATAAATTTAATTTTTTTATTAAATTTTTAAAAATAATACATAACTTTTTTTTTAAGTTTTAGTCTTAACATAATTAAACTTTATATTATTTTTATTATAAATCTAGTATTATTTCCTTTGTTTTAGTTGTTTTTTATTTTTATTATAAATCTAATATTTTTATTATAAGTAAGATAAGTAAACTTTATTTATTTATTGTTTTAAATCTTACAATTAGATTTTTACTTTTTATTCCTCTTATGTAATAATATAAGTAAACTTTCTATTATTTTATTATAAATTTAATATTTTTAATAAATTATCAATTTTATTTAAATTAATTTATTATTCGGTTCATATTAATTTTTGTTCGGGTTGCTTTCGGGTCGGGTTAAATTCGGTCCGGATTGCTTTCGAATCGGATTAAAATTCAGTTTAGGTTAATTTTGGTTTCAGTCTGGGTTAATTTCGATTCCTTTTACTTTCAGTTTCGCTCAATTTTAGGTCAAGTAAAATTCGGATCGGGTATGAGTCAGGTATCAGATCAAATTTGATTATCATATTCTGGTTGGTATAGAGTATTGAGTCGGATAAATTGGTAATCTGGTTCAAGTCAAGTTTACCAGGTTTAGCTAAGGGCAAGTGGTCGAATGGCGAATATATCTATTAACACTAGATGTGAAGGGATTGACAAGAGAGGATCAATTTTAATATAGTGAATTTTTTTTAATCAAACTGAGGTGATTATAATGTAATATTTATCTTAAAAGTCTTCAATATTGATATAAACGTTCAATATCTCTACAAACGACATATCAAACCAAGACATTTAAATAACTACTATCTCTTCAACCAATAACATCGCTTGGTTGGTGCAATGTATTTGGTGAACATATTTCTTATAGGAACCATGCACCTTCCATTCACTAATTAATGATCCTTATTTGGAGATCCCCTTTGTCCTAGGTGATTCGCCACTACTAGATTCTTCGATTCGACAGGCTTTTGGTGGAGTTTATTATCTCTATGGTGATGTAGGTCCACATGGTGTATGAGTGAACAGTAGGAATGGGTATAAGATTCATATTTGAAAATTTTCAATTTAATTTAATTTGTAAGATTTATTTTAAAAAAATATTTAAGATCGGATCAGGTTCAAATATAAGATTTTTTTTTGAATTGTTTTGATATGAGATAATAGTATAATCATCTCTTATATATTTAGGAATATTTATAATAATATTTTTCTATGTATATGTTTTTGGCATACTATCAAAATTCACTTCTAATGCTTGATATAATAGTCAATTTATTATATATTATTTTTTTAAACACTTTAACCCTTAACGTTTTATTTTGAGACAAAATATCCCATAATTAGATGAAAATTATTAATTAACTAATAATTAATATTTTTCGTTGACGTAGCAAGTCATATATGTCTAAATGTCACATCATTATAAATGTACACATGACATGTAACCATCATCACATATGTATACATGTTATATCACATGTCATCACTTATGTATTCATCACTTACGATGAGTATGCTTATCAGTTTTATGTAAATGTTCTAAAAAATTATTAGTCACTTTGATGATTCTATATAGGACCTGAATTCGGATGATTCAGGATGAAACATATTAGGGTGTTGTACTCATCACCAACCACCACTCACCACAATTATTGTTGACCATTGTCAGTCGAAATTGATCGTTATCGACGTCGATTATTAGTTCATGAAACTTATAATTCACTCATTTTGACATCCTAAATGCGGATGATGTTTCTTTCATTGAAAAATTTGAACTCAGCAAATCTATTATAAAGTAGTTCAACTTTCATTAAACTTAAATAACAATAACAAATTTATTATTAATATGATTTTAAAAATAATGACGACAAACATATAAATCATGTTTGAAGTATGATAGTTGTTTCAATGGTCAAATTTTTCATAAAAAAAAGTAATGTAAGATGGTATATAGAGGCATGTGCTCATAAAGAGACATAATATAACTAATAATGCGACTCTAAATAATTTAAGTTACCTAACAATAAAATAAAAATAATGAAAATATATCAATAAGTTATGTTAGTACTGAAAAAATGAAACAAAAATAGAAAAGTTATTGACAATGATTTTACAAACAATATTCCTTGATCTTGAATTTAAACCTATCAAAGAGTACATATATAAAAACAGTTGGACAAAATGAAAAGACATAGTTCAAGTGAACATAAATTAACTTTTAAAATATGGACAAGTAACCCAAACGCTTAAATGTGCAGTGCAAGCGAAATATAAATGATTAGTAATAACTTGAATGATTTTTTTTTTAAATTTCTTTATGATGAATGAAATTACTTTATTCCTACGATGGTTATAAAAAAAATTATAATGCGTCTAATGATTTTGTAAACCCTATATACTGAAACTTATCTTTAAAGGATTTAAAATGTAAAAAGTATTTGAAAATTTCTTAAAAATTTGTACAAATATATTTGCTTAAATATTTAAATGGAATGAATCAATGTAAGTGTATATAATATACCCTACTCAATCACTGTTCGTTGAAGGTTATAAATATGGTTCAACATGCTCATGTGTCTTTGTAAATACATTATGATCAAAATATGTTATAATTATTTTGTATATTAATAATTTGAATATCATTGGAAGTTCTGAAGAGCTTTAGAAGCATCATCTTAATTATTTAAAGAAAGTATTTGAGATATAGAATCATGAAAAAAAGTTATATCTCTACTTATAGATCGAGTACTTAAATATAATTTATTTCATATTAAATGGATCTTAAATAGATTCAAATTGAATAAAGCATATTAGTTAGTTCATGACGATTGTATCTTAGCTAATTCAAGATCATATTTTAGTTGATCCAAAACTATTATCTAAGTGCTACAAAATCATTATCTTCATATCTTCAAACATTATTTGATGTGCATGTAAATCATGTGAAAATTATTGCGAGAATATTATTTAGATAAAATTATTGACCTAACATATTTAGAAAATATAATTTGCTTCCACATGATAAGATGTAAATTATATTGTATAAAAATGTAAAATGTAAAACTCAATTGAAAAATACATCACAAAATATATTTTTCAAAAGTTTTCTTTCCTGATCTTAAAAATAATAATATAAATATTTGATGAATCTGTTCAAGTGGTAATTTGAAAGATTTATCATCAGTACATTATCTATTTCAAAATTTAAAGATTGTATTCAAGACTTAATTTTAAATACTCAAAGATCTTCAATGATATTATCATGAATATGAGTAAATACATGATGTGCTCTTTTTCTCTTAATCGAAGTTTTTTTCTATTGGATTTTCATTGGAAAATTTTTAATGAGACAACATATTATGCGTATTAAAGATATGTGTACTCTTTTTTCTTTTTTAAATTTTTTTTCCATATAATTTTTTTATCAGTAAGATTTAAATGAGGCATATTATCTTCATAGACACCCAAGAGAGAGTGTTATGAATATTTATTTAAGTGAATGTCTATTATGATTAGAATACTATGCAATAACCAACAACCAGTTGGTCTAGTAAGATGAGGCACTAGATATAATAAGATGAGGCACTAGGTCCCTTAAGCAAAGTCAGTGGTTTGAATCCTGGTGTTTGCGAATGAAGCAAACTGAGTTGGGAGGGTCGTCCTCGCTTCTACAATACCTGATCTGGATTAGTTGGTCAATAGATCGAATACCAGTGATTAATTCAAAAAAAATACTATGCAGTGAATATGATTTTACTATATTTTTATTATTAATTTTAATATATTAAAATTAGAGTTCTATATAATATATTATATGCTATTTATATCTATAAATATAAAAGTTTAAAAAATATTGTATATAAAAACATTGTGTCTCATTTTTAAAACTATATTTATCTCTTAAAAACTATATTTTATCTAAATAGGTAAAGTAAATAAATATTAGATTACATTCCATACATAAGCAATATTTGAGTATAAAATATTTTTATCACGTGTTAATTAAATAAATATAATTGATTAAATACTTTTTAAATATTTGTATTTTAATGAATAGATTATTTTACTTTTATTGCTTCTCAAAGGAGATACCAACTACTGTTGCTTTTATAACTTCCACCATTGCTGCTCCAAACAAAGGTGCCTCTTTTTCTTTTTCTCTTTTTGAAGATTGTGTTTAATCCATCGGATAAGTACGGGATCTGGGTTTTCTCTTTCTGCTTTTCCCACTTTTCCAGATCATGGAATTAGAAAGCCATTCCTTTTTAAAAGTCATTTTAAATCTTCTGGGAATTGGTAGCATTTAACTCTATACTGTTTTCCTAACGGTTTCTTGTTTTTCAATCCGATATCTTTATCTTATCTCTTTGATATGCAAAATAGGGTTTAATCTTCTTGCTTGCGCTTAGGGATTTATTCTTCGGAGAAGGCTGGAGGCTGCCGGAATTTGTAAGCGAGAAAGAAGAGCCACTACAAAAGGCAATTGTATATTCTTTTTGAAAATTGGTACTTTTTTGTTTGTTTAATTTGATTCTGAATAACCGCCTTTGGGATTTCTTCCTATCTTTGTTTGATTATGGAATTTAAAGTTGCTATAATCGTATATGTATACTTGAATATGCGAGCATATTCATGGCTACATGGACCAATGCTTGTCAATTGGGGTAGTAGATTGCCTTGTAACACTTTTGCTGATTCAATTCATTATAGGCTGCAATTGTGATGTTGTTCCCAAGTTTTTATTTGATCCTTGAGTGTTATTGAATCTTAGACTAAATGAAACCTTTCATTCCTTTTTGTGCTTTGCCCCTCGTTTTAGTGGAAGAAGAAATAACAATGCAATGTGTATTGAATCGGATACATAAATGAAACCTGCATCTCTGCGATTTTCGCTGCCATAGTATTTACTGTGACATTGATGCTGATGAAGATGATAATTTGCTGTTTTGCCCTCTTAACACATAAATGAGAATAGCAGTCTTTTTTTATGATACAAGACTTCTAATCTGTACTCGTTTGTTGTTAATATTGTTTTCAGATGGAAGTGCAAAACTCAGAACAAGGGCAAATAATTGAAATACGAGGAGATGTGCCGGCTGTGGAGACAAGCCTAGGTGGAAGTACGATATGTGGAGGTGCAGCATGTGGATTTTCTGATGCTCAAACCATTTCTAAAGATGCAAAAGAACGTTCGGCCTCTATGCGGAAATTGTTGACGGCGGTAGTGCTCTGTGTTGTCTTTATGAGTGTTGAAGTAGCTGGAGGAGTTAAAGCCAATAGTCTTGCAATCTTAACCGATGCTGCTCATCTCTTGTCCGATGTTGCGGCGTTTGCAATCTCCTTGTTCTCTCTTTGGGCATCAGGGTGGGAGGCAACTCCACGTCAAACATATGGATTCTTCAGGATTGAAATTCTTGGTGCCCTTGTTTCCATCCAGATGATATGGCTTTTGGCTGGCATCCTTGTTTATGAAGCCATAGCTAGACTTATCCATGATACAGGTGAAGTTCAAGGCTTTCTCATGTTCATTGTTTCTGCATTCGGTCTTGTGGTTAATATCGCTATGGCTATCTTACTGGGTCATGATCATGGGCATCACCATGGCCATGACCATAGTCATGGCCATGGTGGGAACAATCATGACCACCATGATCACAGTCATAGCCATGACACTGAGCCGCGTGGTCATGGTTTAAGTGTAACTTCTCACCATCACCATCATCATGGTTCGAATTCTAAGCTACACAATAAACATCATCGTACTCTTGAAGCTGAAGCTGACCATCAAGTGCCTCTGCTGAAGACATACTCAGACTGTGAAAAACAACCAGAAAAGAAGGAAAGAAACATCAATATACAAGGGGCTTATCTTCATGTCCTAGGGGATTCGATACAGAGCATCGGAGTGATGATTGGTGGAGCAATTATTTGGTGGAAGCCCGAGTGGAAAATAATAGATCTGATATGCACCCTTATATTCTCTGTTATCGTATTGGGAACAACCATCAGGATGCTGCGAAACATCTTGGAGGTTCTCATGGAGAGCACGCCCCGAGAAATCGACGCCACGAGGCTCAAGAAGGGTTTATGCGAGATGGACGAGGTTGTTGCGATACATGAACTCCACATTTGGGCCATAACTGTCGGTAAGGTGTTATTAGCTTGCCATGTCTTGATTAAGCGCGAAGCTAATGCCGACATAGTATTGAACAAGGTTGTAGATTACATCAGGAGAGAATACAATATCAGTCATGTGACTATTCAGATAGAGCGCCAGTAAAATCCATGGTGCAGTAGCTTTTGTGGTTTTATTGTTGTTGGCTGCTTTATTTTGAGGATTTATGTCCATCTTTGTCTTTGATGCACGTGTTAGCATTTATATACTCTTCTATTAAATAGAGTAGTTTTTTCGTGAGGAAAGTGCTTATTTTGCCTGTCGAACAATGAGAAAGGGCTGCCTCATTAGCCTTTTGTTTTTTATGCTTTCTCCATGTTCCTAATGATCAAATCATTTAGGTATAAAAGTATACATAGAATTTAGGGTAAACTACAGATTTAGTCCCAACTATAACTTTTGTTCCATTTTGGTCATTCAACTATTATTTTTTTTCAAAATCATACATAATGTTACATTTTGATTTCATTTTGATCACCTGCCACTAAAAAATTAATAGAATTGTTGATGTGACATTATTTTACATTTTTTTAAATGATGTGAATTAACTTATGATGACATATCAGCATCATCGTTAATTTTTTAATGGTAGCTGATCAAAAGTAAAACCAAAACGTAATGTCAAGTATGATTTTGAAACAAAAAAATAGTTGGGTGATCAAAATGAAATAAAAGTGATAGTTTGGAAACTAAACTTGTACTTTACCCTAGAATTTAACACTCCTACCAAACGTCGATCGACACATCGATAATTTATGGGATTCAGACATTCATCAAGATGTTTGCAGAGATGCAGTTGTATATTAAACAGTAATAGTTTAATGGTTTATGTATTTTGTTCTAATTTTCAGTTTAATTCTTATTTTGTTTATTGTATTATCATTCTGTTTTACTTTATCACAATTCATAAAAAATCAAAGAATTCATAAAAAATAAATATATAAAAAATATTTTAAAAACTTAAAAAGTAAAAAAAAAAGTATATACAAAATCTCTTTCTTTTTTTTTTTCAAATTTATGTTCTGAAATTCTCAAAATTGCAATTATGATTGACTTTATTTAAAAATTAAAAATCTATTATATCATTAAAAGATGAGTTTTTAAAAATAAATTTTGAAATACTTGTTTATATTTGTTTCATATGTAACATATGGACTTGAAACACTCTAACTTAAAAATAAATCCACTAATTATTAAGAATTTTGAGTTATTTAAGTTCTATTTTATAATTCAAGTAGAGTTCATAAAATTAAGAGTTGAGTTTAATAAAAAAAATCTAAAACCTTCAAGTGAAGTTGGGCCGAATGAAAAATTCAATATTATCAAATCCAATCGAATTTTACTCGTACTAATTAAATAAAATCAGTATGATCCCACCATTCATGTGGGTCCTTGAACCCACCTAATACCTGCTATACCTTTCCCGCGACCACTTTAAATAATGTATTTATAAATATAATTTAAATAAATATAAACCGATTTCTAATGAAAATAATTTAAAATATGTCATTATAACTCACATCACACATGTGGTATTATCTCAATTGTCTCCATTTCTAAAAAAAATAACAATAATTTGTTCTCACTCATTAATTGATAAATTAAAATATAACTTTGACATGTAGAATCAAACGACTGTAATGGTTAAAAGAATGATTGTTAAAGCTAGAAGTCAAGGGTTCAAGCACAAATTTTACAAGAGTGTTTGAGTGTACATTGTCAAATAATTGAATTTTTTTTAACATATTACTACCTCATAATCATTCTAGACTAATAAAAAATATTTATATAATATTTGGCCTAATACAATCCCAACCATTCAATCATCTTTAAATTTCAGAAGACAAACAAAATAATAGAAAATGAGTTATGTTTAAGATAAATTTTCGATCACTCTTTAAAAATTGAGATGTGACATATGAGTTTTTCTTTTCACTTACATAATTCATGAGTATCATATTTTTAGAATCAATATCTCATTCACCATTCAATTATTTTGTATATATAAGACACTGTTGTAAATATCACATTGATTATAATATGAATTAACAAATTAACCATTAGAATATCCACTGTAACCCACAGAAAATATGATGAATAATAATAAAAATTTAATAAAGACGAATGATTCCATCCGTCTATTCCCAAGTGTGGCTGCCAACTAGGCAGCGTAGAGAGTCCTCAACGGTCCACTCGAGTTCGGAGGCTGTGGTCCAATGCCTACGGCTGTGCAAGAAAGAACGTATGGACCATGATGTACCACAATCAATTATCCCCCTTTTCTTTATTTTGTCCTCTCTCCGCACCAAATGCTTTAAACCCTTCCAATCTAACACCAAATAACAAATGTAAATGCATAGCTCTTCCATCCTTTTTGGGTTTCTTGCATTTGCATCCCCCTCTCTACTCTAGAAATGATCAAACTTAAAGCTATCTCCATTTATGAACAAATTATAAATATATAATTATATAGTAACGTAACCACTCTGTAAAACAATTGCAATATAAATAACATCAATATTTAATGTGAAAAAAATCTTTTCATTATAAATTAGTAAGAGAGGAAAAAATTTATTATAAAAAATACAAAAAAATTACGTCTAAACCCGATTTAGAGTTTAATTAACTTACTTATAATCTTAATTCTACTATTTATTTATAGGGATAATTTTTTTTGTTTAAAAATAAAAGTTGTATAAAAATAAATATACTCAAACTAGGTTTTATTCTTTATCAGCATATAAAAAAAAAATTTTACACAAATTAAATTGTTCCGTCCGTTATTGTATATCTTAATTTTAATCTGTATTTAAAGTGATTTTTTCATAATCATGTCTGACAAAAAAAATAGATCATAAAAATCTAACAAATATTTTGATTAGTTCTTATTTTGTGGTTAATTACTCTTTGATTAGTTATTTTAAGTTGCTAACTTGACCCTTTCGTTCATTTCAATGTAGGATTGGAGATTCTAGAAATGTTGCTAAAACTGATGAAATTGTGCAATTTTTGGTTTTCTAGATTCATGACTGGATTTGTAGGCATACTTGGGGCATGACTTCGCTGACGTAATTTTCAGTCAACAGCTTCTAGAAGGTCCAGGCAGCTGATTGCGTGAAGAAGGAGACTCAACAACATTTTTTAAATTCAAATTATGATTTATTTTCCTTTTTAGGAATTGTCTTTTTAATTTTGAATTTAAATTCTTAGGGTTTTGAGGACTACAAATACCCCATTGGAGTAAGCCTCAAAGCATTGATTCATGCACTGAGCATTCAATCATTTTTCAAACTCTCTTGTTTATTTCTTTCTTTAGATTTATAAAACTTTTCTTCCTTCTATTTTACTTTCTAGTTCTTACTTTATTTTCTTTTAAAAATGCTAAGTATGGTTTCTACCATATTTAGCTAAGTTTTCCATAGCCAAAAGCTAAAGCAATGACCCGATTCTAAGTCGTGAGAATCGAAAAGCACATCATACCCTTCAGGGTTATATTTTTAGTTTTCGAAAATCAAGAATCGATAATCGACCATCCTTTAATAATCAAAGCGATTTAATTTCAAAAAGTGCACGTTGGAGTTGAATTTCGATTTTGATTAATAGTTGGGAGGAATGATCGACCTATGACACATTCGACTTCCTGTGAACACACTTAACGGCGGTCTGTTAAGGGAAACTGAAATCGAGTTAGATTCTCAATTGAGATAGTACAATCCGAGTCGGGTTTTTCAGAATTTAAAGGTGTTAAATTAATAAACGATTGTCGCGATTAATTCACAAAGAGTGGAGATCTAAAAATTGATTTTAGATTCTTGATTCATTTCAAAGAAAAACAAGTTACAGGGGTTGAGTCCTATAGACTGTAACCGGCGTGAGCCATAAGGTAAAATCTTATTCAAGGATCGATTTAAATCGAGGCAAAAGCTTTAGCACAAGGCTGATTTTTACCAATTGAATTTTCACCTTAATTTACTTCGCTTACTCTATTTTTCTTTCAAATATTTTTTAATTTCAACTCTCTAAAATCCCATTTGTTTACTCTTCTATACAAATCAAGCTTGAAATCAAGATCAAAAGCGATATGCTTATTAACATCCTAGTCCCTATGGATCGACCCTTACTTTCTCTATACTATCTTTTATATTCTTTTATTTGAGAATAAGAAACATTTTTATTTTGACATTAAACTGGCGCGCTGTCAAAATTGGCGCCGTTACCGGGAAACTATGAAAAATTATTGGTTTAATTTTCTTGTTCTTGATTTGTGACAAGGTAGAATCCGGGCACATTATAAGAATTTGATCCAAAAATCGAAGCACGAGGAAAACGAATTCACGGTCAAACACTTCAAGAAAAAAGAAAGAAACGAAAAGAGCAAGCAAATTCCGAAGACTCAATTGATGCCACATATGAAGAACTAACGAATTCAACGCAAAATCCAATAATAGAATCAATTTCCACACCCATCATCGATTCAATGCACAACAAACCAATGGAAAACCAAACCATCCACGAACTAGCCGTAACTCATACGGTACAACAACCATTCTGCATCACCTTTCCTCAAGGAGAAATACAATTCTAACTCAAGACCGAATTTCACGTGGTCTATTCACACATAAAACCTCAGGGAATATCAAAGATCAAAATAAATTAAGAGCATTTCTATTTTTTTGTATGGCATTGCAAAAGAATGGTTATTTATTACCACCAAATTTGATAAACACTTGGGCTGATTTAAATCGTAATTTTCTTAACAAGTTTTTCCAGCAGCGAAGCCAAACAAACTTAGGAAAAGAATCCTTGGAATTAAACAGAAGCATGATGAATCTCTTTACAAATATTGAGAGTGATTCAAGAAGCTATGTGCGAGCTGTCCGCAACACGGATTGACTGACACTTCTTCAATATTTCTATGAAGGTTTGCCTCCGATGGAAATAAAAATGATTGATGCTGCTAGCGGAAGAGCTATCATCAACATGACACCAAACAAAGAGAGGGAATTAATTTCAACGATGGCAGCCAACTTTCAATAGTTTGGCATTGCAAGTGAACCTAGCCAACGGATTCACGAGGTAAACACTATTTCACTTGAAAATAAAATCGAAAAATTAACTAACATCGTTAATTATCTTATTGCAGGAAATAACAGATCATCCAGAGTATGCAGGATATGTACAATGCCAGATCACCCAACCGATTGTTGCCCAACCCTACAAGAAGA